CCCCAAAACCCCAAAACCCCAAAACCCCATGTTATTCTGAAATTTATTAATAGTTTTCGTCTGCTGTTACATATTTTGATGAATCTGGGTGAGCCATTCAATGGCTTCCTTTCTTTGTTTTATCTGTTTTTCTTCCTTGACCACTTCGAGATCTTTCTCTATGATAGTTATTAAGTTCTCTCAATTCTCTTCTATAAGACCATTGACTTCATCACTCTTCATGTCTTTAGGAGTGTATAGGTAGATTATTAATAGCTCAAATGCGGAATCTTTGACATCAGCACTTTCATCGGTGATCAAGCATATGACTAGATCAAGATTTTCCCTGTCTTCAAGGTACCTAAAGGTTAGCTTGCTTGCTCACTTCTCTGTGAAATCCTTTACGCTACCTCACCTATTAAGCAACTCACTGAGGAGGATCAGTCCTCTCACCTGGATTCCTTTTGATTCGTGTTCTAAATAGGTTGGAGAAATTTTATAGGAAATTTATCAAATCCGAAGCGAACTCGATCAGAAAATAAATGGAAGTAGGATTTTAGAATAATTGTTAAAAATCTTACTCAAAATGCCTTTGAAGAGTCCCATTACATCTGCGTAGTTGTCACCAATGTACCTGCTGATGACATCTTGATGCTGCTCTGAGATGAAGACTTGTTCAAGGATTTCCATCCATGCTTCACCTATAAAGCTGGGTTAAATCTAGTTCTAAAACATGCTAAAGTTAGTGAACTTGGGTAAATATGGCTCCTAGCTGTGGAATAGCAAGATTTATCCATTTCCTTGCAAGGATATGCTCCTCGTTAATTTTAGGAAGGTTTTGGATTAAAACACACAAAAAATCAAGCCAATCATGTAGAGAAGCTGTTCTGAAGATCCTATCGCCTTTAGATTAGAGGTTGTAGAGATTGGAGCTGAACAACTTGTCCTCTGAGAAATGAGATAGGCTCCTCCAGCTTGGTGACTTGGGTTTTGGTAAAATTTTACTGAGTTAAGCTTTTTATAGATTTTGAACTAAGTTTAACTTAATAAAACTAAATATTTCATGTTTTATCCTCAAAAAAACTTGCTATTCTACTCTAGTACTAGATTATCTTGCTATTTCTGGCTTGGAAAAGAAAACATTTTGTATTTGGATAAACCAGATTAGGTTTTGAATATTTTAAAGAATCTTGAATTTTTAGAGTAATAGAGGCATGACTAGAGGGATTAAGCTAAGTATAAAAACCTAACCTTCACTGGTGACTCCTTCTGCTAACTTTTGGAGGACTTCTTGTCTCAATAAGCACTGATTGGTTTCTGGCTGCCTTGCAAAGATCCCGAGTAATTTCTTGTAAGTCGGTTTAGCTAGGATTTCATCGATGAAATCGTCACCCATAGGAGCAAGAGACATTGAGAGAGGGTTTGGATCTGCTTCAAGTCCCATGAATTCGTTTAGGATTAATAAGAGTAAACTGATTGTTTCCTTTGCGAAAACTGACAGATTGCTATAAATTTTTAGCAATTGGCTAGGATATTTAGCTGATTCAGATACTATTTCAAGCATATTAGTCTATATCTGTAAAATCTATAATCATACAAATGTATTTGGGCATTTTGAGCTCTTTCCTGTCACTATTTCAGCCATCCTTGAAACATACTTGTCCTTATTTATTAGAAACTAAAATCATTAAGTATTTTCAAGCAGCGGAGGCTTACTCTTCTTGCTAGATTTTCCCTCTTCTTTCATTTCAACGAATTTTATGAGAGATTTAATCATACAATTTGTGTTCTCAACAGGCCGCTTATTCCACTTGCCAAAGGGCGCTTTCATTTTGCTGTCCATATTTATTATTATTTATTTAACATTCATTTAAATCCCGAGTTGAAGGGGTTTTGGGGTTTTGGGGTTTTGGGGTTTTGGGG